ATTACAATTATATAAAATGACAATGAATTAAAATGTTGGATACTTGTGCACTGCGGTATGTTGAACGTCCTTTTTGACATTGCAGGCAAAATACACTGACATACAAAAGGAATTTGCAACGTGGTATTGTTCTACTGTGCATGTATAGTTGATTTCTATTTGTATTCATCCTAAGGATCTTAGGTTAAGAGAAACAATCCCACTTTAGCCCCCTTCCCACATCCATCAGCAGTCCTGTCAGATGTGAATCCTTCCACCAATGATAAATAAACCCCACGATCATTGGCACTTCCCCACATAATTCTAACAGGAGCCATCTGTTCCACCTCACTGATGTACTATCACAATATCAGAAACCCACATCTGGATAGGCCATCACATCATTATATCCACACATCCAGCAGCACCTGGAGGGATTCAAGTCACTTTCAGTCTAAATCACTCACGGTTAGGAGGAAATACAGTCGTTGTGGTTACATTCGCAGTATTTATTTGGCCTTTTATGCATTTTGGCCCCTTTCCCTCCCATCCTCTGCACGTTCCTGGCTTTGAGGAGAGGTACAGTTGAGTGTTATCGGCAAAGCAGTGGGAGCAGATGCCATGTTGGCGGATGATATGTCCAAAGGGAAGGTTAAACAGGATAAAAACAAGTGGACTAGGGCTGAACCCTGGGGGACACCATGGGTGACTGGGGCAGTGGAGGATTGGCAGGTGTTTATGGAGATGTATTGATGTCTGTCAGAGAGATATGAGGTGAACCAGAAGAGGGTTATGCTGATACTATTCTGAAGGCGTGAGAGGAGGATGGAATGGTTGATTGTGTCAAAGGCTTCGCAGAGGTTGAGAAGGATGAGGATGGTGAGGAGGCAGGAGTCTGCTGAGAGGAGTATTTTCATTTTCATTGAATCGTTTATTTGAACCGGGACAGTGCACATTGATGAACACTTTAAAACAAAAGAATGCTTACAAGTGTAAATGAGCTGGATTTGAGCTTTGAGCTCATTTCCATCCGTAGTCCCGTCACATACAACATATAAGAACATGACATTTATATACATAGCTAAAATAAATACATGATATGCAGGAAGAGCATGAGCAGCATACAGCATTAACCACATGGCAGTACAATGTAGCAGCTATGATATATAAAGTGCAAGATAAGATAAAAATGCTACATAAAGTGCAAGAGGAGATACCCCTGTGTTAAAGGGGAGGAGATACCCCTGTGTTAAAGGGGAGGAGATACCCCTGTGTTAAAGGAGAGGAGATACCCCTGTGTTAAAGGAGAGGAGATACCCCTGTGTTAAAGGAGAGGAGATACCCCTGTGTTAAAGGAGAGGAGATACCCCTGTGTTAAAGGAGAGGAGATACCCCTGTGTTAAAGGAGAGGAGATACCCCTGTGTTAAAGGAGAGGAGATACCCCTGTGTTAAAGGAGAGGAGATACCCCTGTGTTAAAGGAGAGGAGATACCCCTGTGTTAAAGGAGAGGAGATACCCCTGTGTTAAAGGAGAGGAGATACCCCTGTGTTAAAGGGCAAGAGGAGATACCCCTGTGTTAAAGTGCATTTAGCGGTGATTGCACGTCTGTTTGTTTCTCAACCATTCTCTGAGTTGACCTTTAAAGCTATTGAGAGTGGGACAATCCCGTATCTCAGTAGGGAGGCTGTTCCACAAAGAGCTGCCTTTTAATGGAGAGGACATTTTGTCCAAAAGTGGTCCTTCTGCGGTGGACCTCACAGTCTCCTCTGGTTTCTGACCTAGTGCAGCGTCCAGTGTGTTTTCTGTGGATGAATTCCCCTAAGGGGACATGTTTACATGTCCATGTAAACATTTATAAATAAAGCTCATACTTTTAAAAGACTTAAAATGGTCAAAACTCAAGAAATGGTGTTTCTCTAGGATGGTATAGTGGTGGTATGAATAAGGCTTTCTGTCAAACACCTTGATAGCTCTCTTGTACAGCTGTTCTATGGGTTTCAGGTTTGTGGCACAAGCAAACGACCAGTTTGTCAAACAGTATTCAATGTGGGATAGAATCATACAGTGGAGGTATGACTTTGCAGCATTGACACTTAAGAAAGGTCTGATTTGTTTAAAATGTAGCAAGTTGAATTTAACGGTATTTGATACTTTCTTAATGTGTTTCTTAAAAGTCAAGTTCGAGTCCAGTATGACTCCAAGATACTTGAACTGGGAGACTAGTTCTATTTCTGCTCCGTTTAAAAACACGTTGGATCCTTTCATTTTGACTGGTCGTTTACTGAACATCATGCATACTGTTTGTTTTGCATTTAACTGTAAGCAAATGTTGTTCAGCCAGTGTTGAACCTTGTCCAAAGCATTAGAGAGACAAGATGAGATCATTTCAGTGTTTTTCCCGTGTACAAAGATGACCGCATCATCGGCATACATTTGCACATTCAACTCAGGACATACATTAGGCAAGTCATTAATGTACAGAGAAAACAGTAATGGTCCAAGAATGGAACCTTGTGGAACCCCAACAGGGTTCACAAGGTAGGGGGATTTGGTACCGTTGACCAAAACACACTGTTTTCTGTTCGATAAGTAAGACCTAACCCACTGTATTGAATCTGCAGAAGGAGCTTTGTAAGGAGCACTTGGTGGTCAACTGTGTCAAAAGCCTTCCTGAGATCAAGGAAGACAGCACCTACATATGGGCTCGTGTCCAACATACATTTAACCTTTTCCACAAAGGCACAGTTAGCTGTCTCAGTGGAGTGGTGAGCACGGAAACCAAACTGCATTGGGTGTCGTTTGTGACTTTAAAACGGGCAGTTTCTGTTTTCTGCACTGTGTTTGGAACAGAAGCTGCATGAAAGGGTTTGTAGGTTATTGCAGTCGAGATGGGATTTCAATTTAGTGACGGATTGTGTGAAGGAGAAATGTTCAAGACCGGAAGAGAATCCATCCTTTTAGGTATTACCCAGGTCAATGTGGGAGGTGTTCAGGGTGAAGAGGATTCAGCTAATGTAATTTCTGTGCTATGGTGAACTCTGTTCCGGACTGGAAAGTCTCAACTCTATTGTTATGTTTACCTACATTCTTCATACCTTTTTCTAAAATCTTACCTAAGAAAGAAAGGTTTCATACTAAAGACAGAGGTATCTTAGAAATGGTTTAACCAAGATAGTTTTGAAGGCAACAGGGAATGTGCCACTTGACCAGATCCACACCTGGTTCTTACCCATGATACCCTTTATACGATAAGACCTGATGGGATGAAGGGGAAAGTCCTAACTTTCTGAACATCTTCCCTTCCTCTTTTCCTTTCCATCACATCCTTCCAGCTGGGCATAAAGGACTGCGAGGAGGATACAAATGCTTCCTCTCCCCTCCGCTCCACGGTATTTTCCAGGGCTTTGCACATGAGTGTGCTTCTCAGTTGGACATGGTGTTCTAGTTTTACCATTAGCTCTGTTTGTGCACCTTACAGAGGCTACAGTTTCACTTTGCAACACTCTGCTGTTTGCTCACAAACATTTGCTGTTCACAGTAAACACATAAAGAAAGAATCTTGGTTCTTTCTAATAAATCCTTTCACTAATGATTACTGAGGATTAACATTGTACTGGATTGACGCCGGATACTGTATATTGTGTACATTCAATCCAATCCAGCAGTATATTCTCAATGCATGCTGTGAAGCTTCTCAACACACCTTTCTGATGAAATCCAATCACATAATAAACACTCTGACAATGAACACTGTTCTTAGTTTCAACTTTCAAATCATTTTGCCTTTATTGATAGTTGATCTGATCAGTTGACTATCAAAACCATATCATACATTTACAACAGAAGTGCACTGAAACTTCCTCCAGTCTCTATATGTCTCTGTGAGTTAAGCTACATTTGAAGAACAGGGCCCACATCTCAAACCAATTCAAAAGCTGGATAAGCTGTAACACCAGCTGTGAGCTAGGCCTTCAGTGTTGGACTCCACTGATGCCCTTTCTCTGAATGGGAGCAAATTCCTTCAACCAGGTTTCAAAATAACAATCTGATTTGCAGATACATATCATGACTTATTTTAAAATGTGTCCATTCTCCCTCAAGCTCCTAAAAGGCCCTGTGAACCTTTTGCTTATTTGTCCAAATATGTCTACCAAGGTTTGTGGCAAGGGAGCCATTGAAATCTGCCTCTTCTGCAGTGTATTCTTTGTGTGAAATAAGATAAGACCCTTATGATAAAACAAATATGAATGGCTTGGTTACTTGAAAACTGAGTATGTGAACTGGACAGAAGTTGGCACTCATGCAGTATAACATGTTGTACACTGCAGTTCATTCTGCCAATGTGCAATAAAGCATGTGTTTCAGTCAGCTGCTGGAATTAAAACAGAGTAATTAGTAAAGGAGGATATTAGTGTATATATATATAAGAAAGCTAATTTTACATCCTGAAAACTGGTACTTCAACAACCAAGTTTCTCTTGATCAAGGCACTTACCCAGCAGCTGTATCAGAGCCTCTCAGTAAGAGACATGAACCTCTGAAAACCTTCTTTGTATCTCTCTATTATCTGAGAACGGTCTGATTTACCTCTTGCAGTTTTACTGATTAACATTCTAATTCACGTTTGTCCCTTCACCCCCATCTAGAGTACATTTACCAATATCAGGCTCAACGATAAGGATGCATATGTCTTTTCAGAATGGCGTAAAGGCTGTTCAGTGCTACAGCTCTTCTACAATAAGCCGTCACACTGCCCAGGGTTCCTACAGTCAGTTTGTAGCCTTTAGCCAGTACTCTACAGTTATAGGAATGGCTACATTCAGTGAATGTCCCTCAATGATGATAGCTCAAACCAGATCTTGGATTGGCCATTTTAATAGCTTTCTTCATGTGGCATTTCCTGAGCGACTTTTCACTGATCTACCTCTGCTCTCATGTTTGATCATGTTCTGAACACACTTTTTTAATTAAACACTTTTTGTCACGTGTTTGCTGTAATCCATTTCCCTTTCCTTCCCCATCAGTCATTGCCTTCTTCCTCATCTGCTTTGCTGCCTTTGCTGAGTCGCTGGAAGCAGTGCACTGTGGAAGCTAGAAAAAAGCTGGTAATGATGGCCGCCACTGAGACAGAGATACCGGAGAAGATGACGATGAGGTAGTCAGTTAGGGTGAGGGTCCCACGGCACTCCCGAAAACTCTCTTCAGAGAGTAAACTCAGGGGAACACGACGGCCATCCAGAGGCAGGGAGCACTCTATCCCCTCCAGACCTAAGAAGAGACAACAACAAGTCACACTACACTTCTCAAAGTCATAAGCCTCATAACTCATTTACAAGTCTGTTGGTGATTCAGACCGGACAGAGAGATAGAGCAAGGGGGGGATGCCCGGATGGCGTAATGATTGAAGTTCATGTCACATAAACATAATTTCAATTCATCTCTATTCTGATGATTTTGTGGTAAATGGAAAACTATATTACTTATGCTACAAAATAACCTGCCACTTTTCACTTCTTTGTTTGATTGGCAACACTTTAAGATGGTAGATGATGTTGCATTGTTAAAAATATTGAAATAACTTCAGCTTTTTTCCAACATGACCCAGTGTTTTTTACTAGAGCCCTGAGAAAGTGGCTTCATTTTGTGCAAATTATGATCTCAACATGGCCTTTTTCAAAGAAATAATGTGCATTAATGGAATGAAGACTTTGCTCTGGTTTTGAAATATAATAATACTGGCCATTGGTAATTAAACAAGGCTTCTTAGAGAAATCTAATGCTACAAATCATGGCAACAGTTCGACACACAGTTTTTCCCCACTTTCCAGATGAATTGTTAGAAGGTATAGGTCAGATGTTAAGAATAGTGGACTCAAGCCACCTTTGGTTTCAACATGCTAAACAGGAAATACACCCTAAATATGACTGTGGATTTCGGCCTGGCAACACTTCTATAGAAAAGCTTCCTGTGTCCTGCTTCCCCCTTATCCCACCGGATCCTGACTGACCAAACAGAGCTGAAAAGAGAGTGAATATTTCACCTCCCTTTATAATATGGGCACGAATAAGCTCTAAATAAATGCTTATGTTGCTATTAGACCGCTGTTTGTGGAAATAAGCAACTGTCTGCCACCATGTTAGTAATATTCATTTTGTAAAGGGATGAATTATCAGCCTTTAGTTTACAGCTTCTCTCCATTCCCCAAATGACCAAAATGTCAATAAATGAAAGTTTATGACTAATTTCATTTGATTAACGGCTTTTAAGGTAAATTAAATAATGTCATATTTACAAATGCTCATTACACCCACACTGAATTATTTCTATCTACTGATATTATAGTTGACATACTATCATACAGTTTAACCTGTAGGTGGTGCTCTACGCTTGCATTGGCAGGTCTGAGGATCTGGTTTGTGTTTAATGCCAGAACATTCTACACACTGACTTCTTGTCTTTGTTCTCAGCCGTCCTGAGGTCCAAACCCCTTACTTTCAGCAGCATATCTGTGGCCCTTACTGCAGAGATGTAACCCCCCAATGCACCAATAGAAATCCAGCTAGTTTAACCCAAAGGCATCACAATATGACTATTGTTCCTATTTTTTATATTAATTTGTGATGTTAATAAACATTGCCTTTTTAAAGCAATAAATAGATTCCAAGTAGTGTTTCTGGTACCAATGAACTGTATCACCTCTGAACACGTTTCATACTGCAGAGGCAGGCACATCCTCGTCCTCTGTAGCACTGCTGTACCCAGACGTCACTAGACTTCGTGTGTGTGTGTGTGTGTGTGTGTGTGTGTGTGTGTGTGTGTGTGTGTGTGTGTGTGTGTGTGTGTGTGTGTGTGTGTGTGTGTGTGTGTGTGTGTGTGTGTGTGTGTGTGTGTGTGTGTGTGTGTGGGGGGTTTTCTACATAAAAAAAGTGACCTCATGATCATCCTGTCACATGGCAGCCAGACTCATGCTCACACACCCAGACGAACACGCATAGTATAGTAAAAAAATAATCAAAACACAAACATGAAGGATTAGTACGTGCACAATACCTCTGACATATTTTTTTAGTTGAATGTGAACAAAGACCCATACAGGGACATACACAGGAATACAAGCACAAGATAAAGAGCAACACAAAGACACACCTATAGCTTAACTAGACACACACATATGTGACCCGCTCTATCGAAATCAGTCGGAAGTCGCAACGGCTCATTTCAAAATAAACGTGGATTTGCGTAAAAAAACAATTTTTTCGGGGTTCGGGTGTTTTGTTTGATTTTAAATAAACAAAGTGTTGGCTTTCAGAATATGAAACTTTTATTTCCAAAATCACACGATAAATACATTTGTGAAGCTTGTAAAGGGAAGATGACAGGCACCTCTCACTCGCAATCTGCTCTTCCGCAGCTCCCCCTCCCTCCGGCTGAAATTATGAATGTAAGGCGTATAGTAATCATAGATAACACAGCAGGGTCCGTTACAGTTTGTTTTCATCTGATTTCAAATAAACAAAGTCTTGGCTTTCAGAATATTAAACCTGTTTCTGCAAATTTAGATGATAAATACAACTTTGAAGCTTGTAACGGCATAATTACAAGCGGAGAACGGAGTAACTTAACGTCACAGCAGGCATAACAACAGCCGGTGTTTCTCGTGAGTGTTTTCCCCGGGAAACAAACACAATACACACAAAATTATACAAACACACACACACACACACACTCGCGAGCTTCCCCCAGACCAGTGTTAATTTTGGCAGCTGTTTTTGATTTAGTCTTAGTCTTTAGACGAAAATGGTTATTAGTTTTAGTCACATTTTAGTCATTTCTATCCTTCATAGTTTTAGTCTAGTTTTAGTCGACGAAAACTCAAAACGTTTTAGTCTACTTTTAGTCGATGAAAAATTACATTTTAGTCAACTTTTAGTCAAAATGTTTTCTCTTTTTAAACCAATTCAGTTAGGCAAATACAGGTATCTGAAATTGTAATCAAGGTGACAGCATCAAGTGTTGAGATTCGTAAAGCAACATTTCACTCTCTTAACACTTTACTTGTGTAATATCTAGGGATGGGTATCGTTAAGGTTTCCTACGGTACTACTACTCTTATCAATACTGCTTATCGATCCGGTACTTTAACGGTATTCTTGTATTTACTTTTTGTTATTTTTTTAAAGGAAAAAACTAACAAATTGTTAACCGAATTAATTGCTTTATTTAAATGTGAAATAAATGAAATATATATAATTATGTTAAAATATTGTAGGCTACTGTACTTGAGTAAAATGTTGAGGTACTTGTACTTTACTGGAGTATTTAAATGTTTTGCTACTGTGTACTTCTACTCCACTACAGTTCATAGTTAAATGGTGTACTTCTACTCCACTACATGTATTTAATACCTTTAGTTACTTTACAGATGTGGATGAATGATGTGAAATATAATCAAGTATTAACTCAGACTTTTGTTCCACCTGGAGTAAATCCACAAGCTACCCTGCAGTATACAAAGTCATTCAAACTAGCTGCACCTTTACCAGCTTTGAGAACACTTTAATGATCAATCATTATAAAACATATCATATATTATTCTGAAATGGAACAATCTGCACAATGACTACTTTTACTGTCGCTACTTTCACTATATTTTGATGATCATACTTTGACTTGAGGAACTCTTTCTACACTATGGTATTTTTTTACTTAGCTACAAGATCTGAGTAGGCTACTTCTCCCACCTCTGCACACCTGATGTGATAACGTTACTCGTAATTGGGGCAACAGAGCTACGAGTTAAGGAAGTCGAAAATTGTGCATTTCTCCGATTGAATATGACGCCTTTTGGCCGGCTGTTTGGACAGACTACTCGTGTCAACGCGCTAACGCGAAAACATGGCAAACGAGCTTTTTCCACATCGAGCCTTGTAGAGTGTCTCCGTCCCCGGCAGATCTCTGTGTGCCGCTGCAGCGTGTCTGTTAGGCCCCGCCCCCGCACACACAGAGAGAGAGGGAGATCGCTCTTCTGGAGTGAAGAGAGCGGAAATAATGATATTGCAAGTTAGAAATGTAGATGCATTTTGACAGACAAGACGGACACTTGGGGGGAAATACCCTGCATTTTGAATGTCCGTTAGTCCACCATTAACACCTTAGTCTCGTCTCGTCAACGAAAACTAAATATACATTTCGTCAAATTTTCGTTATCAAGAATCTATTTTTAGCTCGTCATCGTCTCGTCTTAGTCGTGTAAAAAAGGTCGTTGACGAACATTTTTCGTCATAGTTTTCGTTGACGAAATTAACACTGCCCCAGACCAGTAATCCAAACGGAAATATCTTCCCTCCGGACTATTTTGATCATTTGCTCCGCTAATAATCAATCAGATCGATGGATTCCAGAGAAGAGGAAACTTTGAAGGCCTTTTTCTCAAAATGATGACTCGGTGACAGTCATTATATGAGGTGACATATTTTGCTTAATATTTGGAGTACAACAACAATCCTGATACCATTAGAAAGCTATGAATCTCCTCTTTCCAACAGTGTATACAACTCAAAATGTGTCTTCGGGTCAATGTGACTGATTTCGATAGAGCAGGTCACATATGTATACACACAAAAACACAAACCATTCTGAATAAATCCAAAATCAGACTTCATTGTTGTGTGTGTGTGTGTGTGTGTGTGTGTGTGTGTGTGTGTGTGTGTGTGTGTGTGTGTGTGTGTGTGTGTGTGTGTGTGTGTGTGTGTGTGTGTGTGTGTGTGTGTGTGTGTGTGTGTGTGTGTGTGTGTGTGGGTGGGGGTTCTTTTGCCGTGTATGAGTGTCTTGTTGTTGTGAGGAAGACATACATGGGTACAGTCAGGGCCGTATCCACCATTGAGGTCACCGAGGTCCGGACCTCGGTAACTATTTCCGAGCTGCGTATAAAAAAAACTTGTGAAATAACGGCACTAAACGGGGTTCTTTGTAGTACTTCCATTTACTGACAATGGGGGGCGCTGCATAACTACGTAGCCTCGATTAAAGCAAACAGAAGAAGAAAACATATATCAACAAACCACCGCAGCACGGACTTGTATCGGAGCAGCGGAGGAGTGATGAGGTGTCTAGAGATGTGAGTCCAGTGGGCTGCTTGTGTTTCTGTTCCTCACAGGACATCATATGACCAGCAGATCCAGTGTGAACGCTCTACGTTAGTCAGTGGACGTCCGACAACATGCACACTAACTTATATTGCAGCTATAGGCTATACTTTGGTTTAAAT